GCAACAGGTGCAAGGTGGAGCACAGGAGGTTGTAAAAAAACATTAGGAAAAATTTTTTCACTTTGAGGGTGACAGAGCTCTGGCCCAGGCTGCCCAGGGAGGTTGTGCAGTCTCATTCTTTGGAGACATTCAAACCCTACCTGGACGAGTTCCCTGTATGACACAGTCTGGGTGATCCTGCTCTGGCAGGGAGGCTGGACTAGATGATCTTTCGAAGTCCCTTTCAGCTCCAAACATTCTGTGATTCTGATCCTAGATGCTGCTAGTAGAGTACATGAATGCTCCCAAACTGGACCTGTACCGTTGCAGTCAGTGAAGGAAGCAGCTGCTAAGGCTGGGAGGGGATGAGCGTACTTCAGTGCTGACCAGGGAGCTGCACTTGCCACAGTGGCTGTTTCAGGAAAAGGGTGGCTCACCATGGCCTGTGTTGGTTCTGGTGCAACATAAGCTTGAACGTCTACCTAATGTTGCGTTCTTCCTCTGTACGGGGAGATCAAGGCTGTGAATGAGGGAATGGTTGGTGTTAGGTGAGCTTTTGTTGCTGGTGAGGAGAGATGCTAAACAGTCTAATTTAAGGTCCTTCATGACTTCTGGAGAACCTGTGGTAGGAAAAGATTTCTGGAGGTCCTCAGGCCAAATTCCTGCTTGTGCGGTGAAAACTACCATTAGGGCAGGTTGCTCAGGGCGTTTTTTGATTGAATTGGGAATAGCCTCAGGGATGGAAATTCTCCCTGGGTCTAAAAGGAAACTGCTTCTCTTCATGAACTTTGCTACAGGGACTTGAGGAGGAAAATGGGGATGAGATTGTGGTGAGCTCAGCCTTTGAACAGTTTTGTGTATCTGAGTTGCAACTTTCCTTCAAGTCCAGGGCATCAGATATGAGAAGGACCTGCTGTTTCCTCAACAGCTTCTCGAGATGCCAGAGGGCCCATCAGTGAGGAAATTCCAGCTGCTGACCTCCCCTTTTGTGGGACAAGTGGTGGTCAAGGTGGGGGGAAGTACCAGAAAGATCAATGTGAATGACCTGAACACCCTGAGGCTCCAGGACTCCCAGGTGAGCTGTACTAAAGATGAATTTATTGGCCCATAACTAGTCTTAGGCAAACCACGATTGTCTTGCATCTGGGCCACAGAAGGTGCAAAACCCAAGAAGGACACCAAGCTTTTGTTTGAGGTGTGCCATTGGCTTTGTTTACAGACACATGTGAGAGGGCTTCACACTGGAGCAGTGTCTGGAAAACCTTGTCCTTCATGTAGGCAAAGAAGCGTTGTGGGGAGAATGACTGCAAGCTCTGATTCTAATGAATCATGGTCAGAGCAGGGTGATGTGCCTTCTATCTAAAAGGGGTTGTAGAAAATAGTCACTTGTATGGAAACAGCAAGAAGTTTATGTGGATGCTCAGTACATCCCACCTCTTTGCTCAGGTTCATGGGAAGAACTTGTACCTGGCGTTTGTGGCAGCTGAAGGCCCCTTAACACCAACTGCAGAAGAGTCACTGCTGCAAAGAGAGGCTGCTAGTGGGGCAAGTTCTCCTGCCCAGGGAGTGCAAGAACAGGTCTGTGCTTCATGGACACATGCCCAGGATGAGGAGCTGCAGGAACTCCAGCACTCAAGATTCGAAGCTCCAGATCTAGCAGAGAGTCCGGGCAACCGGCTGCGCTTCCATTTCGGCTTGTTTGGCAGCATTCGGGCAAATGAGTTCTCGAGAGCAAACAGAGCCAATAAGAAGGGAGACTGGAAAGATCCTGTACCCAGGTATTTAGCAGAGCCCTCACAAACTCCACTTTCTCCCTGCCTCCTGTTCTGGAGAGGCACTCTTCTGTCTCAGACTAAATGTGTGTGGGAATGCTCTTTTCTCTGAAAATTCTTGAGATAAGCAGGCACGGGAGATGGCATGAGTGGGTGTGGGATGTGTTCAGCCAGTGAATCCACAATACATGGGATGCATGTTGCTTGCCAGCCTGGGGATCATAGTACCAGCTCAGTTAAGATTTTTATTCAGAGAGGGAAATTCTAGGATGCCAGACTGAATCATGCTAGGAAAATACCAGTTTCTCCCAATTATGTGTTTAAAGAAAATCTAAACTACAGTCTGGGATGAATAGTGTACAAATAGGACAGCTGGAATCGCAGGCTGGAGTGATGCTGGTAAAAGCAGCAGTGTGTTGAAAACACAGGCTACAGTGTGTGCCCCAAGTCTAGAAGTGTACTCGATACGGACGGGGTAAATACTGGAAGACAGTGCAGACTCTGCTCTTGTGAACTGTTTAACCAGAGTGGTTAAATAATGTACTTTTTTTGCCTCTGGAGTAGCCTCTGGTTCCCACCTGAACTGGGGTGGTCCTTGAGCCTGAGGAGCCCTGGGAGACTGGTACTTCCAAGATATCTCCCTGGCTTCATGAGAATGAGTAGGCATGTGCGAGGGCTGATGTCTCACCGCGTGCTCCTCCCAAAGCTTATGTCATGTACAGGCTCTTTTTTTTCTACTTTCCAGTAGCTTTTCACTCCTTTGCTATGCTGCTGTATCTTTCTGCTCTTTCTATGCAAGCTTCTTAAGCCAAAGCAAAAATCTAAGAAATGGTTCAGGGATGTCTCTGACGAGACTACAACTCCTCTGCTCCTCCCAGGCTGGTTCTGCATTTCAGGAGCGGAGGCTTCCTTGTTTTCTACAACTGCCGAATGCACTGGTGCTCCTCCCCAGGAGCTGATCCTGCTTCTGACATCCTGTCCATGGAGTTCCACCGTGGCCAGGCACTGGACGCCCTCCGCACACCCCATCCCATCTGCTACACCCTACTCGACCAAAGATATTTTTCAGGGCTGGGTGAGTTTCAGGGGCATAGTTGCAGAGCAAGGAATGGAGGAAGGTGGGTGGGATGGCTCAGACACGTGGCTCTGGATGTGTAGACTTTTACTCCTTAGCCTTATGGCTTATAGCTGATCCAGCTTGAGGGTATGTGGTCCTGTAGGTGAGGGCAAGGCTCCCAGTCTGTAGCCACAGGCTTCAGATCCTTGAGTGTACCACACGAGCCCAACAGTGCAGTGCCCAGTGAACTGCCTTAGTGTGGGTGACGGTGTGTTGGCTTGTACTTGGGGAAGAAAAGGTCTGCTTTGAGGGTAGTGGGAAGAAAACCTCATCCAGTCCATCCTCAGCCCTAAGTGTACTCTGTGTTCCACCTCTGATATGGGGAATGGCATTGCTAGCTGTGATGCCTGAGGCAAAAAGTCACAGGTTGGAGCCATAGGTGTGCACCATCTTCATAAATATCATTATGGTCTCCTTATTTCTGCCCTTTTTCCAGGGAACATCATTAAGAATGAGATCTTGTACCTGGCCGGGATCCACCCGTTAACGCAAGGCTCTCTCTTGGCTCTCTCGGCTCTGGAGCGCCTGCTTGACTGCGCCGTTCGCTTCAGCTCTGACTGGCTGCACAGCAAGCTGCGTGGCGAGGGGCTGCACCCTCACATCTACCAGAAGAAGCAGTGTCCCCTCGGGCACGCAGTGATGAAGGGAGCCCTTGGACCCTCGGGTGGCTTTAAGAGACTTACATGGTGGTGTCCTCAGTGCCAGCCTGCGGTGCTGTCAGGGGATGGCGATCCTCCCCCAGTCACTGAGTGACCTGGCTTTCTGTGCTCCTCCTTTCCTGGAGAGTGTCTAGGTGGTTTCTGAACCAGGCTCTTGGTTGTCCTTCGGAGGTCTTCATGGTTTCTTTGAGGCTGTTGAGTTGCTCCGTAAGGACACTGGATGTGTCACGAGTTAGATGCTCGGCAGAGGTTACAGTAATCACTGCAGTACTGTGTGCCCCGGGTGCAAAAAGGAAAATGGTTGTACATGTCTGTCACTCTTTGCCAAAGTGACACAACGGCGTAAATATTCTGTTTCTGAAGTGTCCTGGTCACCCTGTTCAGACCACAGCAAATGGAAAGCCCAGGGTGTTGGGTGGGCGATCACTGTGGTCTGAAGTGGCAGGTGCAATGGCTTATGGTGGAGTTGGCAGAAAGGAGTGCATCCCCCCACCTACAGCTTGATTAATTCAGTATTAGTCAATTCCATCTCTGTTTGTAACTGAATACCCGTGTGCTGGGCTGTAATTAGGTGTTCTTAAAAACTGAGTGGCTGTTCCCTCTGTCAGCAATTTACAGGTGTAGCTGCTGCCTCTTGGTGGGGGAAAACAAACGTCAGCACTTGGTGGTGGAGCTCATCTCTGCCCACACAGGTTTTGGGTTTGTGGCAAGCTGCCAATTCCAGATCTCGCTGTAAAAACAGGGGGGGAGAAAAAGCTATGTTTGCAATGGGGATTGCACAAAACTCATGATCTCCAAGGTAACTTGAAAGCAGAAAGATTCAGAAATAGAGGTGATGTGGTCGCTCTGAGCTGTGTATCTCTGTGCAGTAGGCAGGAGCTGTTGCTGTCCTCTCTCCTGGGATTTGGGTTTACTTTAGCAATAGATTGTTGTTGACTTTAGGGAAAAATAAAAGTTAACACTGGTGATGTTCAGCTTAATTTTGGTGTGCTTTTTCTAGTAGCTTCTTTTTAAAACCTGAGATGTAAAGGGAAAATCCAGCATCTGGTACTGTCCTGCCAGCCTCAGGATGGTAACCAGCTCCTTTCCTCAGCGGTGTAAGACTGGCTCAGCAGAAAAACGATTTTCATGGGAAGTGGATCCCATGTTCATGGGATGCAGATCATAGGATGGTTTGGGTTGGAAGGGACCTTTTAAAGGTCATCTAGTTCAATTCCCCTGCAGTGAGCAGAGACATCTTTAACTAGATCACTGCTCTAGGAGCCTTCTGGTACCTGAAGGAGGCCTATAGGAAAATTGAGGAGGGGCTGCTTACAAGGGCAAGTAGCAACAGGATGAGGGGAAATGGTTTTAAAGTAGAGCAGGGTAGAGTTAAATTAGACGTTAGGAAGAAGGTTTTTCACAATGAAGGTGGTGAAATACTGGCACGGGTTGTCCAGAGAAGTGGTAGATGCCCCATACCTGGAAACATTCCAGGATAGGTTGGATAAGACTCTGAGAAACCTGGTCTAGTTGAAGATGCCCCTGTTCAAAGCAGGGGGGCTGGACTAAGTGACCTTTAAAGGTCTCTTCCGACACAAACCATTCTATGCCCCTTGAAGTATTGAAAGGGCACTATAAGGTCACAGAATCACAGAATGTCAGAGGTTGGAAGGAACCCTGAAAGATCATCTGGTCCAACTTCCCTGCCAGCGCAGGATCACCCAGAGTAGATCGCACAGGAACATGTCCAGATGAGTTTTGAATGTCTCCAGAGAAGGAGACTCCACACCCTCCATGGGCAGCCTGTGCCAGGGCTCTGGCACCCTCATAGGGAAAAAGTTCTTTCTAATACTTTTGTGGAACCTCCTATGTT